CTCCCATCAACCCAAACAGCTCCCCAAACCATCACGCTGAAACCACCATGCTTCACAGTTGGCTGCAATCTGTTGAGCCAAAACTCTTGGTGAGACATTCTCCAGACCCATATCCTTCCACTGTCCGAAAATTGAGCGAATCTTAATTCGTCTGAGAACAATAAGGTCTTCCAAAAGTCCAGAGGCTTGTTCATCATATCACTTGCCCACTTCTTCCGTCTGACTATGTTGGCAGGTCTTAATAATGGCTTCCTTCTAGCTGCTCTGCAACGATAACCCAATCTGTGGAGAATCCGTTGAACAGATTTCGGGCTCATCCCACTAACTTTGGCCACTTCTGCAGTCGTTAATCTGGGATCCATTTCGATGCTCCTCTTGACAGCCCTTTTTGTCCTTTCCGATGGACCAGGACGACCCGGGCGCTGCTCAATTGTTTCCTTGCCGTGTTTCCTGAACTGCACGATGATTCTGTTGACTGTCGAAAGCGGGATTCCCAAATTCTGCGAAATCTGCCGCTGACTTATTCCACCATCTGCTTGACCAACTATTCTTCCTCTAACAATATCTGACAATTCGAGAGAACCTTGAGTTCTAGGTATGTTGTAGCACAAGATAATTAGTGTGCGGACCATTTTCATTTATATAGTGCTCTGTGAACACAAATTAGTTAGTATAAATCAGTTACATGACGAAAAATTAGGTGTCTATTTACTTGTGACCACTCAGTGTATATATAAAAAGAGAAGCAGACAGAAAGACTCGTACAAGTGACCAAATAGTGTTGACTTATCATCTACAAACATAGACAGAAAGTTTGTTTGTTTTCGCGCAAAGCTACACGAGGGATATCTGCGCTAACCGTCCCCAATTTAGCAGTGTAAGACTAGACGGAAGGCAGCTAATCATCACCACCCACCGCCAGCTTTTGGGCTACTATTTTATCCACGAATATCTGCGCTAACCGTCTTTAATTTAGCAGTGTAAGACTAGAGGGAAGGCAGCTAATCATCACCACCCACCGGCAACTCTTGGGCTACTATTTTACCCACGAATAGTGGGATTGACCGTCACATTATAACGCCCCCACGGCTGAAAGGGCGAGCATGTTTGGTGGGAGTGGGATTTGAACCTTCAGATTGCGAGTCAAGCGCTCTAGCCACCTGGCCACGTAGACAGAAGGTAAAATGTTAGATTGTCTGACAGCAGTTATTCCCTACTTACACAGAGAGAAACAGAGAAAAGAATTCATATTAGCGATCATACATGTTTACCTCTAGTCTAAAGTATACAGACAAAAGTATCGTGTTAAATTGTCTGTCACAGATAGGTAGACAGTAATGTTAGCTTGAATTATAACAGTCCATTTCCTACTCACCCAGCAAAAGCAGGAAGAGAGAGTTATCGTACACATTTGACTTGTCCCCTTGTCTTACATGTATAAACAGAAGCACACTTTATATTGAATGACAACAAATTTTTCCCTGTGTGCAGAAAGAAATAGACAGAAGGACTCATATAAGTGACCGAATACATTGGTTTTGTTCCCTCTCATAAATAAAGGTCATGTTAGATTGATTGACCACATCATTTTAATACCTACTCAGAGAGAAACATATGGAGAGCCACGTAGGAACTACCAACAACAGTTTGAATGTCTCTTGCACATATTGACAGAATGTCAAGTTAGCTTGATTGATAAAAGTCCATTGCTTACATACACAGAAATATATATAGACGGAAAGACCCGTATTAGTGACCGTACGCAGTTAACTCGTTCCTCTCATATATACATTGAAGGTCATGTTAACTTGACTGGCCACAGTCCATTCCCCACTTGTACAGAAACAGATGAAAAGCCACATATTAAACGTCTTATACACAGACACAAGGTTATGTTAACTTGACTGGCCACAGTCCATTCCCCACTTGTACAGAAACAGATGAAAAGCCACATATTAAACGTCTTATACACAGATACAAGGTTATGTTAACTTGACTGGCCACAGTCCATTCCCCACTTGTACAGAAACAGATAAAAGCCACATATCGAACGTCTGATACACAGATACAAGGTTATGTTAACTTGACTGGCCACAGTCCATTCCCCACTTGTACAGAAACAGATTAAAAGCCACATATCAAACGTCTGATACACAGACACAAGGTTATGTTAACTTGACTGGCCACAGTCCATTCCCCACTTGTACAGAAACAGATAAAAAGCCACATATCAAACATCTGATACACAGACACAAGGTTATGTTAACTTGACTGGCCACAGTCCATTCCCCACTTGTACAGAAACAGATGGAAAGCCACATATCAAACATCTGACACACAAACACAAGGTTATGCTAAGTTGACAAACAAAGCTATATCTTCTTCTACACAAAGATGAACAGAAAGAAAGATACATAAGAACTGCCGAGAAAAGTGATTCTCCCATGCATGGATAGACAGAAGGATAATGTTAGCTCGACTGACAATATTCCATTCCCTATTTACACAGAGGGAAACACACATAAGAACTGACGAGGAAAGCGACTCTCCCGTACACAGATAGACAATAATTATGTTAAGTTGACAAACAACACTATATTTCCTTCTACACAGAGAGAATCAGATAGAAAGACACATACGAGCTACTAACAATAATTTGTCTCTTCCATGCACAGATACACAGAAGGTTATGTTAGTCTTTCTGACAATAGTCCATTTTCTACCTACAAAGATTGA